TAATCCCCTTGCATATCACCCATCCCAACCCTTATCTTCCCTTCTGACAACTACCAGCTTCTTCTCTGTATTTTTTAGTTATTTATTTTTTTAGATTCCACATATAAATGAAATTTTTGTCTGATTAATTTCACATATCATAACACTTTCAGGATTAATCCATGTTGTAACAAACTGCAAGATTTCATTCTTTTTTATGGCTGAGAAGTATTCAATTGTATGTATACCTATTCACATCTTTTTGTTTTACTCATTCAGTCACTGAGGGACACTAGGTTGTTTCTGTATCTTGGCTGTTGTAAATAATACTGTGATGAAGATAGGGTGCATATATCTTTTCGATTTAACATTTTCCTTTTCTTCAGATGAATATCCAAAAGCAGAGTTGCTGGATCATATGGTAGTTCTATTTTTAATTTTTTGAGGAACCTCCATACTATTTTCCGTAGCAGCTGCACCAATTGACATTCCCACTAACAGTGCACAAGGGTTCCATTTTCTCCACATCCTCACCAACATTTGTTATTTTTTGGTTATTTGTTAACACCCTTTCTGACACATATGCAGTGATATCCCATTGTGGTTGATTTTGCATTTCCCTGATGATTAGTGGCATTGAGTATCTTTTCATGTGCCTGTTGACCATCAGTATGTCTTTTTTGGAAAAATGTCTCTTCAATTCCTTTACCCATTTTTTAATCAGATTATTGGTTTTTACTGTTGAGTTATAGGAGTTCTTTATATTTTTTGAATATTTACTTCTTATTGGGTATATGATTTGCAACCGTTTTCTCCCATTCTGTAGGTTGCCTTTCCATTTTATTTGCAAGCAAAAGCTTTTTAGGTTGGTGTATCTCCCACTTGTTTATTTTTGCTTTTGTTGCCTTTGCTTATAAAGTTAGATCCAAAAATCAGGGGCTTAGTTCATTAAGCGTTTGACTTTGGCTCAGGTCCTGATCTTGGGGTGCTGGGATTGACCAGGCCAGGCCCAGCTCCTTGCTCAGAGGGAGTCGGCTTCTCTCACTCCTTCTGCTCCTTCCCCTGCTTGTGGGCACAGTCTCTCTCTCTCTTCCTCTATCAAATAAATAAATAGATAGATAAATAAATAAACTTAAAAAAAATAAAGTTAGATCCAAAAATTCAGTGCAAAGACTGGCATCAAGGAGTTTACCCCCTGTTTTCTTCTAGTATTATAATTCCCAGGTTTTGTATTTAAGTCTCTAATCCATTTTCAATTAATTTTTGTGTATGGTATAAGATAGTGTAGTTTTATTCTTTTGAATATGGCTGTCCAGTTTTCCTAACACTACTTATTGAAGAGACTGTCTTTTCCCCGTTGTATATTTTCATCTCCTTTTTTATAAATCAGTGGACTATATAGGCATGAGTTTTATTTCCGAACTCTGTTTTATTGTTTTTATGCCAGTATCATTTTGATTTCTGTAGCTTTGTAATATAGTTTGAAATCAGGTTCCAGCTTTGTTCTTTCTCAAGATTGCTTTTAGGTTCCGTACAAGTTTTAGAATTGTTTGTTCTATTTCTTTGAAAAATACCAGTAGAGTTTTGATAGAGATTGCATTGAATCTCTAGATTGTTTTGTGGTGGCATAGACATTTTAATAATATTAATTCTTTCAATTGAGTATGGTATATCCATTTACTTGTTTATTTTTCAGTTTCTTTCATCAGTGTCTTACAGTTTTCAATGTATTGGTCTTTCACCTCCTTGCTTAAATTTATTCCTGGGTATTTTATTCTTTTTGATGCAGTTATAAAGTGAGTTTTTTAAAATTTCTCTTTCTGATAGCTTATTGCTAATGTATAGAAACAGAACAGATTTTATATATTGATTTTGTGTCTTGCAACTTTATTGAATCCATTTATTAGTTATAGTTGTTTTGGTGGAGTCTTTAGGGTTTTCTATATTTAACATCCTGTCATCCGCAAAAAGTGACAATTTTACTTCTTTCCTTTCCAGTTTGGATGCACTTTCTTTTTCCTGCCTAATTGTTCCGGCTAGGATTTCCAATACTGTGTTGAATACAAGTCGTGAGAGTACGCATCCTTGATTCTTGATCTCCGAGGAAAAACTTTGAGCTTTTCACCATTCAGTATGATGTTAGCTGTGGGGTGAATCTTTGTTAATATCCAGAACTACACCCTTATTTTTAAGATAGATAAATTAAATGGAAGTGGGTTTTTTGTTTGTTTGTAATGCTTCAAAAATGTAGGATGCCGCTTTCTTTTTTAAGTACTGACTTCATGTTATATCCTTGATTTAAAACCTATGAGAGCAATAGTATTTTCTGAGGCTTCTTGCCAGATTATATTCACGTAAAATATGAACATTGAGCAGTTTAAGATGAACTATGCCTGCAACCTCATTTTTAGAATCTAAGTTGCTAAAGTACAGACATAATCACCTATTTTGTATTAATTTTGAGGCTCCTTTGCATTCACCAAGATTTGTTTTACACCCAGTCTTATTTTTACCCTATATATTGCCTTTGTATTCTTCCCTTAATTTGTTTTAACCTGTTTGATGTAAAAAAAAAAAAATCTGTGTGAAACAGTAAATTTGACAGAGTGTCTTCATAGTTTCTCTTTAAGTAGTGCTTTCTGTAGCCTCTCTCATGGGGTGTATATCCATTAGGATTAGGTTTGGCAGCATATAACAAAAGTCTAACATATGTGGGGGTCGGTATGGAAATTGATTTTTCTCTCACAGTCCTCAAGTCTGGAATTAGGAAGTGCAATGATAATAAGGAGTCTCACTGTATCAGCCATTCAGGCATCTTCTGTCTTCCTTCCTGTTCCACTGTCCTTATCACATAGTTTCATGATCCCAGATGCCTGTTTGAGCTCCAGCTCTCATATCCAGACTCCAGGCAATAAAAGTGAAGAAGGGTGGGAAGGCACAACAGGGTCTTTGCTGGCTTAGTTTGATCACTCCAAGCAGTTTTTTCTTCCCAGAAGACACAAAACCATTTCATTTTACATTTCATTAACCATGACAGAGCCATGTGGCCTCTGGGCTATATCCGTTAGCAGGGAGCCTTGGAAGTATGTTGAGTATTCATTTCTCCCACAGTGTACCCAGCTAGATTCTGTTGGGTTCTGTTCACTGTGAAGGAAGGATGGGATGGGTATTGAGGTGAGCAACTAAGAGTTTCTTCACCTCACGGTTAGTGCAGAGTTTTTATAGCAACATAGGAGACATGGTGAGGTCTAGGTGGCTCAATATCTGGGTTCTAATAGAATAATGGGAAACGATACTAAGGTATCTCTGCTCTGTCTGCTGATTTAAACTTACTTGATCTATAGTAACATCATTTTTGTGTTATTGTTACCAGATATATGCGCTAAGTACTTTTTATACCTTCTCTGTAATCCCTACAACACTTTTTGGTAGGGCACTGTATTTCATGTGGCAAATGAGAAGACCGAGGCCCAGAGAGATTGCATAACTTGTCGCGTTCTCATAACTGGTTAAGTGATGAGTCAGTTATTGACCCCACAGTTTAAGATCAGTATTGATAACTGCCCCTGTCCTCTTTATGCATCTGTCTACCCATATAGCTATCCACTGCTACCCCTGCCCCACTCCTTGCACATAAAAATTATTTGAGGTTGCCCAGACACACAGAAAACAACAAAACAAGAAGATAAGCAGACTGAAGGGAACATAATCATGAGAAAACCTGATGAGGCTTAGATAGAAGTGGTCCACAGAGCTGAATGCTCCATCGTCCCAGAGAGGTGCTGGAAGGCTGGGTCTGACTTGTGTTCTATCAGATACTAAAAGACAGGAAAACAAGCTTGAATTTTCTTCGTTGGGACTCTGGGCATCTGCATTATTTTCATCATATAATAATTTGAATCCTTATAAAGAATACTGGCTTTTCATATAGCAGTTTCAACGACTCTTTAAAGGTCATTATAATGGTAATATTAGTATTTTCCGGTTTTCTCTTTGCGTGTTAGTTAAGCTGAATTACTGTTACTTATTTTTTAAGAAGTGGAAACCAAGGACACCTGGATGGCTCAGTCAGTTGAGCTTTGGACTCTTGGTTTGGGCTCAGGTCATGATCTCAGTGTTGCAAGATTGAGTAGGCTCCGCACTGGGCACGGAGTCTACTTGAGACTCTGCCTCTCTGTCTCTCTGCCTCTCCCATGTGCGTGCATGTGCACTGTCTCAAATAAATAAATAAACATAGAAACCTAGTCCAAGAGCATTTTTTAGCTGGATAAGGGTCGTATACTTAGTAAAAACTATGGCTCACTTTTGATTGTTTATAGAAATGCTCATATCATAGTTTTGAAAGGTACATTTTGGAAGACTGAAATCTTGACAAAAATTGTGTTGTGCTGTTTGTCAGAGCTCCTTGAAGACAAAAGATTTTGTCTTACTCATTTTTATCCTCTAGTGTCCTCAGCGTATGGAAGATATTTGATAAGTGAATAATGAATGAATGACTGGTAAATGAGAAAAATTTGTTAACAAATATAATTAATATTTCTCCTTTAAGCAACTAAGCCAATTACCTAAAATAGAGGAAAAGTGGGTCTTTTTTTTTTTTTTTTTTTACCCTTGCAAGTTGTAAGAGGTGGTTTATAGTACCATTAATGATTGGACATTGGGACCACGAAGTCCAGCCCTTGAACTTGGTATATTTGGAGAATTGCCATAACTGTGCTACATCTGAAACATAGTGGTTGTAAAGGCAAGGAGCAGGAGATGAGTCTGGTAGGCTCCTGGCATGTAAAAGTTCCTTATTAATTGTAAGGAATACAACTTAGTCCCAAATTTTGAAAGATTTTATATGACATGTTTGTTATCTTTTTAAAAATTACTTTAATGGGGAACAGAAGGGACATGATTTGCTTTGAGTAGCATTTAAAAAATAGATAATGTAATTTCCTATATTTTTATTTTCAGGATTATTTGTGAAAAATAAATTAACAGAATATTTAATTACTTTATTTTGTTTTATTTCTCAGGATGTGATCTTCGTGGTGGGAAGCTAAGTTTTTAAACTACCCCAATGGATGCAGACAGTGATGTTGCATTGGACATTCTAATTACAAATGTAGTCTGTGTTTTTAGAACAAGATGCCATTTGAACTTAAGGAAGATTGCTTTGGAGGGAGCAAATGTAATTTATAAGCGTGACGTTGGAGTAAGTATCTAAATTTTGGTATGTATGCTACGTAGACTAATTTTATAGTGCTATGAATCATGTTCTAAAACATATTCTCTATACAGATAGTTTATGAGCACCTTACCATGTGTCAGTTGTACTGAATACAACACTGAGCCTTGTAGAAGTGGCCCCTCCTCCCCGAAGTGTCAGCTTTTGGATATTCCCCATCTCCAGGACTCAGCAAAGAATTCACAGGCTACTAGAATTTGATTGTTCTCTCAATTTCTTTTAAATGAAGAAGGAGGCATTTATACGTGGTGTATACTTATTCAAATATAATTTTTTAAGGGCTGCTGGGTGGCACATTTGGTTAAGTGTCAGACTCTTGGTTTCAGCTCAGGTCATGATCTCAGGGTCTTGAGATTGAGCCCCACGTCAGCCTCTGCTCTCAGCTTGGAGTCAGCTTAAGTTCCTCTCTCCCTTTGGCCCTCCCCCCACTCTCTCTCACTTTCTCTCTCTCAAATAAATAAATCTTTAAAAATATTTATATATATAGTTTCTTGGTTACATGAATGATATATGATACATATGATGCTGTAATATATATGTTGTGATTTTTGTAGTATATGTTAATACCCCTCTTTATTTAGCCAAAATAGTTGGTATTCTTTAGGAATAAATTGCTGAAAATAATATGGTTCATATCCTAACCTGGACAGTATTAATTTTAGTTTTTGTTAGACCTGTATTATTTAAAATAGAAGCATTGATAACTTGCTTTTAACCTTACTGAGATTAATATTACAAAGGACAGTGTGTGTTCACTGGCTTTTATAAACCATATGATGTTGAGATATAGATTTTATACATTTATTATGAAAACTATGAATGTATATGAAGGCTCTAAGCTCTAAAAATTCGATGCTAGTGTACCTCAGTAAATTATCATTAGCTCTTAGTTCTAGAAACTAACTTAAGATGAATTAAATTCAATTAAAAATTGCAATGACCCACAATTAAAGATTTTCAAGTTCATCAGTCTTGCCATCGTCACCTAATTAAGGAATGAAGATATCTGCTAAGAAGGTTAATAAAGTGCCTAATACTGCTTTGGAACTTGAGCATGCCATGTGATAGGGAAGTCATTTTTCGTAGGAGGTTAACTGAAAAAGCTGAATTGATGGATAAGGTGGTGGTGAAAGACAGTTAAATACAGAATAAACTCAGTTTAGTGTTTCTCAGCCACTTGTGTATGAAATTTGATAATATCTTTTAATTCAAGTTTAATTTGGCTCTTTGTTAAATTTTATCCTTCCAGACATTATAGCTTTCTCATTTGGTAATGTGACATGTAACAGAGAAAGGGTGAAACTTGAAAAGTAACAGAAGTTTTAAGGAGAAATATCCAATTCATTTATATGTTACAGTATTCAGTAAACATTTATCTCCTATGCATTATGGGCATATGATATTTTCCATAAATGAAAAATGGTAATAAAAATTTAAATTCACATTGTTCTCTTGGACCTTAGTCCTTGACTGATTTATACTTACTCTGTAGATAATTTCATTCAAACCCACAGCCTTCAAATGCCTTTCATATCTAAGGAATCTAAAATTACATCTCTAGCTCCAACATTTGTCCTACGCTCAAGATTTGTATATTGAACTTGAATCTGTAGTAGTCATCTCTACTGTAAGATACAATATAATGAGTACCGTGAAGCAGAATAAAGTAGGGTACGAGGTGAGAGCAGTGAGGGGATGGGTTGCTTTGTTGGTCAGGGAAGACCTCTCTATCTGACATCTGATGAGAGACTTGAATGAAAGTGAGAATATTGAGGGAAGACTATTCTGGATGAAAATATTAACAATTACTGCAAAACCCCTGAGGTTGGAATACGTTTGGCATCTTTAAGGATCCATGCAAATTGCAAATTCCAGTTATGTGGCCAGGGTGGAATGAGAGTTGAAAAGTTTGCATGCTTGTAGTACATTGATTTCAAGTATATAGTAAGAGGTTGATACAGACTTTGTATTTTTAATTAATTAAATGTCTTTTTTAATTAATATGTCCTTTGTGTTTAGTATGGTACTTAAATTCAGAATGGATGATTTGGAGAGCAATTACTTATTTCAGTCTTGGGTAAGCATCGAATACTAGTTACACTTTTATTAAAATGGCCACATGGAGCAGCAGTGTAAGTGAAAATTAATGCTTAGTATGTAACCGTGTGTTTTATTTTGTTCTTTTGCAGAAAGTATTAATGAAGCTGAGAAAACCTAGAATTACAGCTACAATTTGGTCCTCAGGAAAAATTATTTGCACTGGAGCAACAAGGTAAATTTTAATTGGATTTCTTACTTTAACTTTAAAATTTTTCCTTCATGGAAAGGACATTTTCCTAGACTTAAAATCACGTGTACAGTTTGTCATATTTGTCAGTATAAAATTTATTTCCTGTGTAACTGATAATCTTTTTCTTTCCTTAAAACCTTAGTGAAGAAGAAGCTAAATTTGGTGCCAGACGTTTAGCCCGCAGTCTTCAGAAACTAGGTTTTCAGGTAACATTTTCAAAAAAACATCCAAACTACAAATATTAAAGGATTTAATTTATAGAGTTAAACTTTTTAATTTGATAGACTAAGGAAATCACACAGATGAGGACCTGGGCAGCTCAGTCAGTTAAGTGTCTGACTTTGGCTCCGTTTGTGATCTCAGGGTGCTGGGATTGAGCCCTGCCTCGGGGCTCCCTGCTTGGGGATGGCCTGCTTCTCCCTCTACCTCTGCCACTCCCCCTGATTGTGCATGCTCTCACTCTCCCCCCTCTCTCTCAAATAAATAAAAATTTTAAAGGGAAAAAAAATCACACAGATACTCTTTTCATGATTGACCTTTTTCTTACTGTCCTTCAGTGCAAAAATTTAGTAGCAAACTCTAAACCATGTTAGTACTTATAAAGGACCTTGGCATTTTCACTAACCCCTTGCTCACTGAGAGACTTACTGCCTTACAAGTGAACTGCCTTTTCAGCTCTGCTAGGCTGTTCACTTCTCACCAAAAAGATCTTGTTTTTGATCATCTCAAGACTGGTATGTCAGGATGGTGAGAGTAGAGAGTAGGGCATATGTGTAAAAAGTTAAAGTGTATTTGTTTTTATTTGTAGATAGCTATCATATAAATTATAAAGAAGAAAAAAGATACTAGAATGGAACCTGCAGAGATTTATGCATTTAATGGCTAAGAGTAAACAGTGTTCCTCCGTATTATGGTTAGTGAGAACATTACCATTATAACAGGATATTGTGATTACTTAAAATATGCCAAACTTAAGTAATCTGTGCTTTAGAAATAACTACATTATGTTGTAAGTTGAAAAGAATTCACATGAATAACTAATTCCAACTATACACCTGTATATAAGGAGTCAGAAAAGCCTGCATTCTGTAAAAATCAGAGGTATTAAAAATGACATAAATTCTAAACAAAATGCACATTGTATAAAAAGGGACATTTATAAGATTGGCTTGCTTTGTCAAGTCTGTGGTTTGGTCCACAAAAAGTACACACCGGTTGGCGGGCTATTATACGTAAAGTGACTGTTGCTAGCAAGTTAACTTTATCAAATATAATTTTATGGAGGCATAAATCTGAGGAAACTTAGTACGTATTATGGACTTCTTACATCACTTGCAAGTGATGAGTAAATGAAAGAAAGATAAAGATGAGCTGTGGTCCCCAAAGAGGTGGGTCCAGGCTGAATGGAATGAACACTGATGAAAAGTTGAGTTTCTTTCTGACTTCTTCAGTCTTCCTTGAGGCGGAAGGTGCTAGAAAGGTACGGAAGTTCTGGTGGGTAGGGAGAGGGTTGGTGCTTGAGGAAAGTGACGATATTGAGAGTCATGACTGATGGTGGTGCCATTTTGGACAATTTTGTGACTCGTCAACTGCCTTGTGCAAGCACTCAGCTGGAGAACAGTTAATCCGGAAGTGTGGTTTTACTGGGAACATTTCAAAGCATAGTAGGATATTGTGGTATTCAAGTTATTGGTAGGAGTGGCTGAAGTTACTTTTTAGCCTTGGAGCTTCATGTCTTAGCATAACATTGGAAGTGTTGAGAAAAATCAAGTTAAAAACACGGTTTTCTCACCCTACCCCCCCAAAAAAAAACAAACATAAACTAACTAAACTCATAGAAATATCATTTTATTCTACTGCATATAAGAAAATGACCTTTGGAGCTCAGAGTACACTCTATTTATTGACTTTTAAGTGGCAACTTTTCCATTTTGACTCTAGAAGGAGAACTCTGCTTTAAATTTTTTATCACTCTTCTTTATCCTATCCTTGTAGATTAAATATCCCATTTAAAGTATTAAAAAAATTAAACATAAGATTCAGAGACCCAGGTGTTTTAATCATGCAGCTATCTCAGATTTCATTTAATTTGTTGATTAAGTTTTTGACCTTTTATTTCCCTTTAATTACTGTTGACCCTTGAATAACACAGGCTTAAACTATGTGTATCCACATATATGCCGATGTTTTTCCATAAACATAGTATAATATTAGATATTCTCTTCCTTACAATTTTATTTTTTTTTAAAGATTTTATTTATTTATTCAACACAGAGAGAGAGATCACAAGTAGGCCGAGAGGCAGGCAGAGAGTGACAAGGAAGCAGGCTCCCCGCTGTGCAGAGCGCGCGATGTGGGGCTCAATCCCAGGACCCTGAGATCACGACCTGAGCCCAAGGCAGCGGCTTAACCCACTGAGCCACCCAGGCGTCCCATTCTTTACAATTTTAATATCATTTTATTTTCTCTAGCTTTATTGTAAGAATACAATATATAATATAAGATGCAAAGTATGTATTAATTGACTGTTTTATGGGTAAGGCTGCCAGTCAACTGTAGGCTATGAGTAGTTTAGTTTTGGGGGAGTCAGAAGTTACAGGAGGACTTCTGACTGGTTGGGGCACTAATCCCTCTGTTGTTCAGGGTCAACTGCATGGCATTAAGAAATCACTCATAATCTAAAATACTATATCGTATTGATGTTTAAGATGTGCTTGTTCTTTCTTGTGTGCTCGAATTCTTTTTTCCCCCCAACTGTCTTTTTATATTTATTTATTTATTTATTAACATATAATGTATTATTTGTTTCAGGGGTATAGGTCTGTGATTCATTAGTCTTACACACTTCACAGCACTCAACATAACACATACCCTCCGCAATGTCCATCACCCAGCCACCCCACTCCACTCCAGCCCCACACCCTCCACTCCAGCAGCCCTCAGTTTGTTTTCCAAGATTAAGAGTCTCTTATCGTTTGCCTCCCTCTCTGGTTTCGTCTTGTTTCATTTTTCCCTCCATTCCCCTGTGATCCTCTGCCTTGTTTCTCAAATTCCACATATCAGTAAGATCATATGATAATTGTCTTTCTCTGATTGACTTATTTCACACAGCATAACACCCTCTAGTTCCATCCATGTCACAAATGGCAAGATTTCATTTTTTTTGAAGGCTGCATAATATTCCATTGTAGATATCTATACCACATCTTCTTTATCCATTCATCTGTTGATGGACATCTAGGTTCTTTCCATAGTTTGGCTGTTGGGGACATTGCTGCTGTAAACATTCGGGTGCACATGCCCCTTCAGATCACTACATTTGTATCTTTAGGATAAATACCCAGTAGTGTGATTGCTGGGTCATAGGGTAGCTCTATTTTTCAACTTTTTGAGGAAGCTCCATGATGTTTTCCAGAGTAGCTGCACCAGCTTGCATTCCCACCAACAATGTAGGAGGGTTCCCCTTTCTCCGCATCCTTGCCAACATCTGTCATTTCCTGACTTGTTAATTTTAGCCATTCTGACCGTTGTGAGGTTGTGTCCCACTGTGGTTTTGATTTGTATTTCCCTGATGCCGAGTGATGTTGAGCACTTTTTCATGTGCTCCAATTGTTTTGTTTTAAGATTTTGTTTGTTTATTTGAGAGAGAGAGAGAGAACTACTGGTGGGGAAGAGAGAGAGAGAAGCCTACTCCCTGCTGAGCAGGAAGCTAGAGGATTGAAACAGTTATTTACAGTTGCCCTGATGAGCAGGGTTTTGTTTTGTTTTTTTTCCTGATAATTTTTTTTTGTTTCAAAACAATTCATTGAGTTGTAATTCTCTCCCACAGGTAATATTTACAGATTTTAAAGTTGTTAACGTTTTGGCAGTGTGTAACATGCCATTTGAAATCCGTTTGCCAGAATTCACAAAGAACAATAGACCTCATGCCAGGTAGGTCTTTGCAGAATCTAGACAACTTACTAAATTTGTATTGACTTGTCAGCCTGTCAATATTTATATTAATTTTGATTTTTTTTTTTTTTGGTATAGTTATGAACCTGAACTTCATCCTGCTGTGTGCTATCGGATAAAATCTCTAAGAGCTACATTACAGATTTTTTCAACAGGAAGTATCACAGTAACAGGTATTTTATGATATTGAACCCAAGCTTATGGTCAGTTATGGTTTGAATGAGGTGTCTATATCAAAATGGAAATAATGTCTCATTTGTCCCTTTCAGTCACTTCTGCTCCTCAAGGGGAACCAGTCTCTGGACTTCTAACACTGTAGTTTAGTTTTCCCTACTTTTATATACTGTTTTAAAATCGTATACATGCTATTTTAGGTCTGTCTTCTTTCACTCATTATTATCTTAGTGTGAGATTCATCCATATTATTCTATATAGTTAGAGATCATTCATTCTTATTGCTGTGTAGTATCCAGGATCTGAATTACACTGTCCATAAGCATTTGGATAGTTCCCAGTTTGGAGCTATTAAGAATATTTTAGTATATATTTTCATAGTGTGATTTTTTTTGATTTGTGATATCTTGCATTTAAAATATTCAAGAGAAACCCATTTTATAAACTTAATAGAGAAGAGGTTTTACATAAGTAAAATAGTCAAATATCATTGGTAACTATTTGTCATGTCTCATATGTATTTTGTATTTTGTTTGAGTCGTAAGTATTTAAAAGTGATGGTTTAAGCAACTAGGCATAGAGAGCATTAGCACACAGGATGGCTGTAAAGGTACTGTATTTATAAATGGTACAGAAACATCACTTAGGAGTCAGGCCCAATCTTTGGCTAAATTGAGTTCAGGAAAATTTCTTTGGTGTTCTTGAATTTTCTTTGTACTCCTTCAGTTCTTAGAGGAAAATACACATTATTGACACCTTTAGACTCTGAACAGAGGTAAGCTTAGTTTTGACTCATCCTATGGGTTTTCACATCTTCCTTGGAGACTTTTAAAGCCTACTGCCAGCATCTTGCCTGAATCTTAAAATGGAGTGACAGGGAATAAATCCATGTGTCCCCTTCTTTCAACTGTCTCTTTCTTTTGGAGCCCAGACTTCAGAGAAGCCCCAAAGTCTATCAGTCAATAAGTACCTATAAATCTATATTTACTGAGTTAATAGATAATTAACATAATAACAAAGAGGATAATGGATTAATTAGTATATATTACATATTTACATCTGTAACATCCTATGAAACATTAACAAGTCAGTGAACAGATTCTGAGTAGTTTCCACAGGCAAAGCACTAACCTGTGTGGGGGAGGCGAGGGGAATCAGGAAGGAGCAGACCTGGATAACACGTGGTCAGTACCTTCAGAGAGTTCACAGTGGGTACAATATGTATGTTTTCAGCATCTTTCAAAAGAATTAAGTGTACTTTAGTGAAACTGCTTTTATTCAAAATAAGTTTTATGAAAATATTTCCGTTGTCTCTTTTTATGTTTCTTTTTAGCTATTTAAATGGAAGATTATCTTTTTAAAAAGTTATCCCAAGCATTATGTGGATTAATTCACATATACTCTCACCCCCTTCCTGCATGTGTGTTTCCCTAATTTACTGAGTAAGCTGTGAAGATGAGTGGCCAGATGAATATTAAACATGTGGTGGGTAACGAGTACTAGTAAGTCTGGGGGTGGGGGTGGGCAGTATAGACCACTTAGTTAATAACAGCTCTCTGGTTTCCCAGTACTTTGGAAGCAGCTTTGTCTTCTTTACTGGGTTCCTCAGTACTCCTGCAAGCTGTAAGCATCAGCAGTATCCTAACCAAAAGCCAGGCTACAATGACCAAGAGGATAGTGACCAAAATGTCAGTCCCTTTCATCATTTCTTCTTTAATCAGCATCTAACAGCACTGTCAGATTTTTATATTTATATATATACTGTCTTCATACTGCCCTAAAACGAGGTGAATAATAGCATTTTGTGTTCAGATTTCCTTGAATTGTTCCGGAAAAAATGTTATTCTGTTGGTTTGTGTTGTGGCTGTATAATTGTGTAAAGTGCAGATCTTTTTTTTAAACATCAATCCGATAGTCTAAACTATGTGAATGTCTTCCCTTCCGGGAAATGCAAGTTCCTAGCGCTCTTCTCACCCCTTTTTCCATTACAGGGCCCAACGTAAAGGCTGTTGCAACTGCTGTGGAACAGATTTACCCATTTGTGTTTGAAAGCAGGAAAGAAATTTTATAATTCATCATGTAATTGGTTAGAATCCCTAACTGAGCACCTTTTAAAACCTGCTGCACATTGGACTCAAAACAAAAGGAAAACTGGACCAACAGTAATTGAGGAAATAGACTCTTTTATTCATTCACGGCTACAGTGTAAGCTCCAAGCCCTTTGGATTTTATTTCAAACCTTGCTGTAATATAAAAAGGAAGTTTACAAGACATGACATTGCTGCTTTTACAAAAGGACATTCTATTTATTTTCGCAGTAATTCTCATGTCCCCGTAAGCAGAGCTGTCACAGTGTGCACTACCTTAAATTGTTTTGTTATTGTCATTATTTCTTCCCAGTTTGAGCTAATGTGTTTTATTTGTGAATAGTCTTTTACATTTTTGTATGCTGAATATGGGCACCAAAGAACCTGTAAAAGTTATCTTTTTCAATTGAATGTGCACAAATAAAAGTTTGGAAAAGATCTCTCTTCATTCTGTAACTTTTACTCCCCATTTTCTATTTTAACAAAAATTGTATTCATAATTCTTTTTTCTTTTTAATCTATGCAAGCTTAGACTTTTGCTAAAGTGTGTTGGCTTCTTTTTGAAGTGTATTTTGTAAATATATATATGCCACATGTGTATAGTATCTTTTACTGCTCTTGTTACCAAATATTAAATAGGAATTTTTTTTCTTGCAGATTAGAAATAAAAGTATGTATATAAACTCTAGGGAGCAAACCGGAGTAGAACTTTATAGATTAAGCATAATGTTTTATGTTGCTAATTTAATATGATAGAAAATGTTAAATATCTTTTAAAAGTTACAAAGGTGTAGTTTTAAGAAGCAAAACCTCTTACCTACAAGATGGATATGAGAAAGAAGCTGTGATGGTTTGTACCTCATATGTACTTGTGTTATTCTGGTTAAGACTCACCTCTAGTTGTAGGAAAGTAGTAATCTTAGGTTGGTGCTGAAGGCTATACTAAGAGTCTTGTCAGGAGTTCATACATTGTGCTGTTTTAACAAGAAGTGCCCACAAGCTGCCTCTGTGCCACAGTATAATTATAATACAGTTCAACTTGAACTTGAAAGCCATTTAACAAGATAGGTCTTTCCCCTTGCTGTGTCTTATTTAATGGAGCTGAAGAGTGACTATTCAGTATTTGCGATTGCTACTCTTAAAGTTAAAAAAAATATGCATTTGTGAAACACTGGCCCTCTGGCTCACCCAAGAGTCTTGGGGTAGTACGCGATCAGGCTGCACCCATGCTGTACCACTTGGGATTAGGAGTTTAGTAGAACCAACAGTAATTTCACTTAGAAATAAAGCTGAGTGGAGAGTCCAATTAACTTCCTAGTAGTAACTTAATAGAGACAATATTCCAACACAATCTTCCACTAAAACCTGAGTTTTCAAAATGTTTTGAAAGTCATGAAAAATCACAATATCTAGTCCTCCGTGTTCTAGTTCATTTTCCTTACAATATTATAAAGTCTTCCAAACCTAGCTTACATACTGCACTGAAAAACATAACCTTATTTTTACATTTTTTTTTTAATCCCCTTTTCTCTTGATGCCTTCCCCTGCGGTGCCTCTCACCCTTAAGTCAGGGGGTAAAGGCTAGCTTTTATATTTTCTTTCTTGTGAAAGACTTGTGATTTTCAAACTTCTCTTATTCTCTCTCTCCTGGTTTGGTTTTGTTTTGTTTTTGGTTTTTGGTTTTTTGGGTTTTTTTACATTGTGTTTATTTGCTTCATTTTAAGATCCAGTAGGATAGGGTAAACCATGAAATATAGAGGATACAATTCAGTAAAGAAATCACAGGTTCTGGGAGACTATTTTTAAAAATTGAGATTTTCCACTTAGCTTTAACTAACAGTAATAAGTAACCTGTTTGGTAATGTTCACAGAAAGAGAAATGGGGGTGGGGGGGACATGATTATATGGCCAAGGTGTGGATCCAGATATCGTAATATTTTCAGTATTCAAGTAACTTGAGAAATAGGTAATCAGTAGCTCATCAAAATGCTTTCTCAGAAAAAAGGAAGAAAGACAATCTAACTGGGTCAGGTGTCAGGGCTGCTGTGTGAGCATCGCCTGGCGAAGTGTCACGGATAACCCACTAAACTGAACAAAGCTGGGAAGAATGAGCGCGTCTGATGTCTTCTGCTGGCTCTTCACAAGTGCTGTAAATTTTTTTTATAAATAAAAACTGTGAATATATACATACAAATGATAAGTTTTCCCCCTTTTTTATTTTTGGAAATCAAAAAGCTCTGGTTAAGGGTGTATTGGGTAGAAATTTGTTTGAAGACAGAATTATTTAGTTACATACTCAGGATAGTAAAAGAAAAATACAGGAGTGTTTAAGATACTGCAGTTGAAATCACTAGTGATAAACCTAAGTTTATGAACAGTTTCCTACCCATTTATGATGAATGGCTAAAACAAGAAATTACAAATATATATATACAGTTTTGAACTTCGAAGGGAACATGTAACAGTTTTGTTAAATATCTTACAATCTGGGATGCTTGACAAAGAAAAAAATTTGTATCAATTACCTGTCTTGATTTTTTTTAAATCATCTCAGCATATAATTCTGCTGAGGATTCATAATAAATTTCTTAAATTGATCCTTTACAGAACACACTTTTCTTTCTCTTTCCAAAATAAAACACAAAAAACATGCTCCAACTTGCATAGGAAATGAGCTGTGGTAGAAGTAAAATCTCAAATCTCCCTTCCTCAGAACTTTCTCTGCCAATTCTCATTATGTAATATGTTTCAGAATCAGGACTTGAAGTCATTCTCCTGAGTCTCTGCTAATACAGTGTCACTGTTACTTACATAGATTTATAATCTTTCAATTTTGTTATAGGGGAATTCCTAGATCCCGTACCCTCATCAAACTGGCACAGTTTGTTAGGGGCCAATAGGAAAATTCCAGTCTAAATAACAAATGGGTTTTGGCTCTTAGGATTCTCTGTTCTTCAGGCCGGTCATGTTTTATTCTTTTTCAAGGTAGATTATTCATACTTTAAGTTTCTGTGTGTGTGTCCCATAGCTTATAATAGTAATTTAATGGGTCACTACTTAAATAGATCGAGATTATTTATTGTAGATTTTCAGTCATCATATCCAAATTGGGGAAAACACCTCACAGAGTCCCAATATTCAGCTGGAGAGATACAGAAGAGAGCAGTTCACTGTTGTGTGGGGGAAACCCAAGCTCCTGTTACAGTCGGTGACCTCCATTTCATCCTAGAGAAGAACACATGGTGAGGGAACTGTCCTGCTGTCTGAATGTCACTCACTGCATCTGCCATTGTCTGCAAGTCAGCATCGGTTACAGCTCGTGTGCCATCACCTGAGGTAGTGATAGTCCTGAGGAGCGCAGAGGATTGCAGGAAGCTATGGATAGCTGGTAAGTCATCATGAAAGCCTTCCAAGGAGAGAGTTTCATAAGCTTGACTTAATAACTCACACCTAATTGATTATAAAGATTGGGATCAATCATCTGATGGCCTGACCCTTTCCTAAAGTTTTAACAACAGGTACAACTAAGTGAAAATGGTCCCAGGATTTTGAAATAGCCTTTTCTAGTCGTGTTTTTACAAATGGATGGAAAAAAATGTTTACTTTTCTCAACTATTGCAGAATTGTTTTAATATTTTGTACATAAAATTCATAGAAGGGTATTTTGTATTACACTTTAGTTCATAAAATAAGCTGCATTATCTTTGTACTTGTTGAACTATAATTAGGAATTATCACTGAAATCCTAGCCAGGATCCTCTCCTAATCTAGAACTTAGGTGCAACTCTCCACCTTGTGTCCCGGTTCTTTTTCACAGAAGGCCCAGTGCAAGTACTGTCATAGTGGGCAAAAACCTGTGAGTTCGTGTTCAGGCCACTGAGGTGTCTGGATCATGAAGCCACAACTGGCCTCTGCACACACATAACCTTAAGGCAAAAGTTGATTGCATTACTAGTTCATCGTTTCTCAAAGGCTGCTCTGTGAAAAGGGTGTGAGGTATTGAATCAGCCAGGATCTGTTTCACCTGGAGTCCTAGGCAGAGTAAGAAAGGGATCACGGGATCTTGTACCTCCATTACCTTTCGAGAGGTGAAGGTTAAAGTTTGCCTTTATAATTTCAAGGTGTCTCTAAAACTACCTCCACGACACTAGGGAGAAAACATGGGAGTGGCCAATATGTCTTGGTACAAAGACACCCTTCTAATTGTTGTCCTACTTTACCAACATTTGCAAGGTTTGCGGCCATTAGGTCTCTGGAGAAAGCTGCTTTGGTTGTCCCTTACCACACAGACTTCTACACTCCAAGAGCTGCTCTTGGGGTTTTCTTTTTTGAAGCTGTTTTGGCACTAATTCCTCTTGATGATGACTCATAAAACAAATGTTGTTTTTCACATAGTTCCTGAAAGAGAAAGGCACTAATGAAAATGTCACTCATAGTTTATTGTACTTGGGGAAAAAAAAAAAAAAAGTACAGGCTATTATTTTTTTTTTTTAAACCACCCTGGGGCTTTAAGGTTTTAGCCTGCCCGAAAAGACGTTTTTACTGCAAAGCCTTGATGTATCATGAAATTCAGTTTTACCCCGAACTTTGGTCAAGCTCATGCAAAGGGTAAGGTGGGGAGGGCGACTTCCCAGAAAATCAAGGCATTCCTACCTGCGAAGTTCAAGGATAATATTACATAGAACTAATGGAGATAGTGTCCCAGATCCTATTTTATTTTCCTCCTCTTCTCAAACTCTACCAGTATGCCTGTACTGGCGTCTGTGTTGTCTGCCTTCTGCCTTAAGTGCTTGCTCCTGCATTAAGAAGTTCTCTTCTACAGGACTATTCCCATCAGTATAAAAATACGCCCTGGTATTTTACGCTTTTTAGAAACAAAGGCCACCTTTGACCCTCTTTCAAAGATCTTTCCCTGTACATTGAACCAGTTACTTGGGCAGATAGAGACTTCTGCTTTCAAGGAGCTTATCTTTTAATAAAGGAGACAAGTTTATAAGCATATAATTTTGAGTAGTAAAAGTGTTAGTGAGAAAAATAAACGGGAAAAAAAATGGAAACAGATGGGAGATGACTATCACACTGCTGCTATCACTCTAAAGAGATGACATTTGATCAGAAACTTTCAAGTTAAGGAGGAAACCCTGTGAAAAACTGGAAGCACTGTGTTTCCAGAAAGGTCAGAGCATGGCTAGTACGTGAACGATGAGATGAGCTTAGAGAAGTAGGTGGCAGCCACAGAAGTGTGCATTTTATTTGAAATGTAATTTGAACCACAGGATTTTGAGCTGAGGAATGACATCTTTAGAAGATCAATCGAACTGCTGGTTCGAGGATAGACTGGGGAGGGCAGGGGCTGGAAGACAGTGCAGAGGTTAGTCTAGTCCAAGGAAAAGGTTGTGGTTGGGATGGAGCATGGCACTCATCGAAAGGGTCAGGTTCACGGTATGTTTTGTTAACAGATTTAACGAGACTTAGTGCAGATGTGTGGTGTAGGGATTATCGTGGATAAATCCTAAGAGTCTAGGAATGAGACAGATCACCGGTTTTAGCAATGTAGAGGTCACTGGGATGTTAGAGCAATTTCGCTAGGGTGGTAGCCTTAAAAGTCTCATTGGGGCAGGTTCATGAGAGAATGGAGAAAGAGAAATTGTTGTCAATGAATATTCCAGAACTTTGCTATAAATGGTAGCAAAGAAACAACACAAGCTAAAGAGGAAAATGGAATCAAGACCATTTTTTTTAAGACGGGGGAAAAAAAAATCACACAGTTTCTAGTGAGAAGTCGGATCCAGTAGAGAGGTAAAATGTTCATGATGCAAGACTGAGCAGAGACAAGTCTTGGAGAATGTCCTGGAAAAGGGATGGAGGAGAGCGTGAAGTGCTTGGCCTCACATAGGAATGCTGGAACTAACAGAACCTGGAAGGATGATGGTGTATTTAGATACAAACACTAATATATGGGTTGTTGTGTACAGAAGTTGCCTTTTTTTTTTTTTTTTTTTTTTTAAAGATTTTTTGTTTTTTTTTTTTACAGACAGATCACAAGTAGTCAGAGAGGCAGGCAGAGAGAGAGGAGGAGGAGGCAGGCTCCCTGCTGAGCAGAGAGCCCGATGCGGGACTCGATCCCAGGACCCTGAGATCATGACCTGAGCCGAAGGCAGAGGCTTTAACCACTGAGCCACCCAGGCGCCCCCAGAAGTTGCCTTCTGATTGCGTCCATTTCTTCAGTGAAGTCAGAGACAAGGTCATCAGTGGGAGTGAACAAGGCTAAGGAGGTGGAGAGATTTCCAGTCCATAGGCCTGGGACATATGTGACTGTCAGGCAGCACTGAAGGACACTTGAGGTCAACGATCATGATTTTTTTTTAATTAACTTATTTGACAGAGAGAGAAAAAGAGCATAAGCAGGAGGTGGAGAGGGCCACAGGGAGGAGGAGCTGGCTCCCCGCCGAGCAAGGAACCCGATGCCAGGCCCCTGGGATCATAACCCGAGCCCAGGACATACTCTTAACTGACTGAGCCACCCCACACCCCCGAGAATCATGATTTAAAGTGAGAAAAACCCAACACCGGGTTTACATGCTTTCTCAGCCATGTTCAGTTGTGTGACCGCAGAGGCTCAGTTGGCACACCTCAAAATGTAAATCAGCTCACATCACCCTGTGAAAATATTTTAGTAGCTTCCCATGGCACTTAGCATGAAATCCAAGGGGAACCTGGGTGGCTCAGTCGGTTAAGGTTAACCGTCTGCCTTCCACTCAGGTCATGATCCAGGCTCCCTGCTCTCAGAGAAGTCTGCTTCTCTCTCTCCTTCTCCCCTGCCCTCCCTCTGTCCCCACCCCCCCACCCCAGCTACTGTGCTCTCTCTCAAATAAATAAATAAAAATCTTTAAAAAAAAAAAAAAAAAAAGGAAAAGAAAAGAAATCCAAACTTGCTGGGCCTGCAGGCCTCCACTGACTTTCTAACTGAATCTCACAGATTCCAACCTCGTGGCCTTCTTGCTGTCCCTGGAACAGGTCAAGTGTGTTCGGATTAGCCTTTGTGCTAGCTGTTTTCTCTGCTCCAGTTCTCCTTTGCCCTTTCTTTGTCGACTCCTCATTATCACCCAGATTTTATCCTAAGTGTTACCTCTCAGAATAACCTTCTCCGATCACCGGATCAAAAGTAGCCCCGCACCCATTCCCTCTCTTATCAACATGTTTTAATTCTCAAGGCATTTTTACTTGCTGAGTACTGTGCTGTGGCACCTTGAACAGTGAGTGCCTGGCACATATTAGATGCTCAGTAAATATTTCTCGAACAAGTGAGTTTGGATGAAGGAAGGAAGGAATGACCACATACAATAAATTGCTAGAAGGGAAAAATAACAAGTCTCAGAATGAAAATATTTCCAAAACGTCAACTTGTTCATTTTCTCTCTGTTTCCACTTAAACTAAGGAAAAGCATAAAAGTCACAGCTGAAATAGCAAATACAGCCAACACCCCATCTTGAGTTGGTCGCTGGCAGGGCAGAAGTTCAGAATAAAATCCTTTCAAATTACATTATTGCTGAAATCTTTTCTGACCTCTCAGCTGAGTCACTGTTTATTTTATAAGAAACCTAATAACCTTGGAAGAATATTTGTTTTCTCAGCCTTGCAGAAATGGAAGTAAAAGAACTGAACGCCAAATAGGAGAAAGGAAAAAAAAATTTTTTTTAAGATTTTATTTATTTGACAGAGATCACAAGTAGGCAGAGAGGCAGGCAAAGAGAGAGGAGGGGAAGCAGGCTCCCCGCTGAGCAGAGAGCCTGATTTGGGGCTTGATCCCAGGACCCCGAGATCATGACCAGAGATGAAGGCAGAGGCTTAATGCACTGAGCCACCCAGACGCCCCATAAAAATATGGAATGAGAAAGGAAAATGTTAAGCAACACTGTAATATCACCTTTGAAGTTATTTTCACATTAGAAATCATTTCCTTTCTTCCTTCTTAGGGAGTCGTTGGGCTATACATGTCAGGACCCTCTCTTTCCCTGGTGACAAAATTGGACTCATTTTCTTTATTAACTCCTAAATTTGTGAAGACTCCCTTAGCACAGTCTCTGAGCTCACTTCAGCTCCCGCCTGCCAGCGAGCTCCCTGGGCTTCCCGCCCTCTGAGTGCACTGAGCTGATTGCATAACTTCTCAATACCATCACGGATTTTATCTTCCTTTTATTTTTGTCTCTGACATTTTCCGGCTGGGAACCGGGTTTAACATACATACGCCATACGTACTTTAGACAGCTGACAAAATCCAGGCTACTTACATTTCCAAGTTAAAAGAAAAATTTGCTGGGCACCTGGGTGGCTCAGTCGGTTAAGCGTCTGCCTTTGGCTCAGGTTATGATCTCAGGGTTCTGGGATCAAGCCTCAGCAGGGAGCCTGCTTCTCCTTCTCTCCCTGCCCCTCCGCCTACTTATGCTTTCTCTCTCTCTCAAATAAAAAAAAAATCTTAAAAAAATGTATTCTATAGTACTACAGAAATAGGAGTCAGCCAAGGTTTCTGAGAGCAACGGTTTCCTCTCTGCTCCACAACTCACACCCTGGTAGATGCCTTCACTGCCACTGGGAATTTCACCTGCAGGATTACTCTGCTACCCCCACCCTTTATAATTCTCTGTATCAGACCTCGTATCTACTCTTATTCTTCAACACCCAGCACCCGTGTGGTACATCTAGGGTGACCAGGATTTTGGCTTTCGGATTTCCCTTACTTTGCAATTTATCACTGAAGGTTTGGATTTAGATTTGAGTAACCGCATGACTCAAAAGTCACAGAAATGTGATTCTTTCAAAAACATTTCATAACTCAGAGTTTTACTAATTTAGACAGAGTCCTTCCCCACCCCATTTCTGAATAAGTTTTGCTGCATTTTTAGGTAGCCAAATGATAGGTTGCTAAGGAATGTCTTATTCTGGGGGTCTACTAGATAGAAAGATTGGCTTTTCTCAAGTTTTGTCCTCATATTTTTATTTGGTTGGCAATTTGATACATTCCAACAGCACCATATGAAAAATAGACCTGAAAGTTTCTTAACCTTAATTCCAAATTATTTATTCATTCCAGTTTCGAGTTAGACTTTTTTTTTTAAAAGAATGCAATAGGGAGTGATAATAGAGTAAGTAGGTCCTTCGTTTTGTTCAGCTCATTCATAATTGCTTTCTCTCCAGCTCAACTTTGCAATTAGTGTTGTTCACAAGAATTTTAGCAGACCTTTATTTTTAAAGAAATTTCACTCCCCCAGCTAATAAACAGGTAGTTAAAAAGTGCATATGCTCAAGATGGACCTACCATAAGGCCAATGACACTTCAACCCCAGGGCCCCTCACTTCACAGCCTCTTCTAAAACACACACAGTCACACCTAATTTTGCATTCATAATTTGTATTTTTTTTTTTCCTTCAACAAGGCCCTGAAAAGCTTAGGCTGCACAAAATGTGGGTCTGCCCCGGATTTCATACGCACTTCTTTCTACACACTGATATGTCCAGGACCAGCTTCCAATGCACACTGGTCTTTTCTTCCTTCCCCTTGTGTGTCCTATAAGAACCCACAGACAGTACGCACAAACTGAACTCAGTGTGGTACGGGAGCCCCTGCCAGACTCCAGCCTCCCAAGCCTGCTCTTCCTCCTTCTCATCTTACTTTGGTGGATGTACCCATTGTATATGGGGTTAGTTCTCTATTCTTGAGAAAGATCCTGATTTTCTCTTTTCCCTCAACTGTCTTTTCCAATCCAGCTCCAAGTCATCTAATTTCATCTGTGCACGTCATCCAGCCCCGTAATTTTCTACCCCATTTCTTCACAAGACTCCTATTGGTCTCCCTCACTCAGCAGCCCCCCTTTCCAATCTCTCTATTTTGCCAGAGTCCTCCGTAAAAAATCAGGTAACTTTTATCCCCTGCCCTGTTGTTTTAAATATAACCCCACTGCCTTCAGCATAAAATTCAAACTCTTTACCAAGACAGATGAGACCCTTCCTGACTGCTCTCTGCCCTGTGCTCTGGACTCATCTCTCGATCCCCAACCCAGAACTTGTCCTCTTCAGACCCCACCAGTGAGCACACTGGCCTCTGAGTGTGATTCTCCTCTGACTCCCACATACTCCTCTTTGCCCAGATCACTCCTTCAGGATTCTGCTTCGGTATTCTCTCTCTCAGGAAGACGTTATAAATGACATCCTCTAATATATGTGATTTTCCTTCGTGCTTGCCAGCAATGGGAAATATTTGTGATACTCTGTATTTTCTTGCCTGCCTCCTCGAGGGAAGAAGCTGGGGACTCCTCATCTCCTATATCCTCAGTTCTTTCCTAGTACAGTGTCGGGTGCCTAACAGATGATCATAAAAGAGTTGGTTAAACAATATCTGAAGAGGAGGGGAAGGGAGAGGTGTGGAAAAACCAGACTGTCTCACTTAATCTGCCCACATGCCTCTTCCTCCTCCCGTTGCACAGGCTGTATTAGACTGTAGATTAACTCATATCCTGAGACCGGATCAACATGTGTTGTGCTTTTACACCTTTATCCATGATGGAATTCCAACCCCCCCATAAGGAATTTAGCACTGGCCTTGTTTACAAGTTATCAAATTGGTCAGTGGATACTTTGTGATCTTCTGCTAGGAATCAGTATTACACTAGGCACTGCAGAGAGAGGTTTCGTAGGAAGGATAATGAGCAGAAACCATTCCTGGAAACCAATATGTTACAACTTCGTTAAGGAGGTGAAACCGACAGGGGTCTTAGCTAAGGCAGTAGAGAAGAAAATGGAAGGAGAAAATATTAAAAATCCAGGAGAAATAAATATGCTCCAGGGCTAAGTTTATGCAGGACTTCAACGACGAGGATTTGCGTTGTATTTTAAGGCATAAGGATGTCGGGTTAAATCGTTAATGATATACAGAATGTCGTAATAGAAGGAGAGATAAAGAGTTAAGTGTGTGTGAGGTAAATTCCTGGAAAAAAAAAATTGTTTCACAGGAGCAAAAAGAGAATTTCAAGAAAGAGTATGGGTGGTAAATTAATGTAGTTTAAAAAAAATTCTGTTTCCTTTATCCCATCAAAACCTTAGGTCAATTTCTACACTCCTTCATTCTGGGCGGGTGTCAGGACTTGTAGGGTGTTGGAAAATAATTGGAGTACTGCAGTGTGACTTCTAGAATGTACACTTCACAGGCCTTACAGCTCCTGCTTCCACCGCCTTGGAACGTTGCCCAGAATCTGCCATGTGAGGAAGCCATATCAGCCTTCTGGGGGGTGAGACCCTGTGGAGGACAACAGAATCACTCCAGCGAGTCAGCACCCACTCTCATCCACGTTGGTGAGGCTCCTTACACCATCCAGACTGATTGGCCCTCTTGCCACATCGACCCGTGAGGGCACCCAGGAGGAAAATGAACAGGAGCACTGCCCAGGCAAACCAAAGCATCCTGGGAAATGGGAGTAGAATATTTTAAGTCATGACATGTGGGGATGGTGTGCTACACTTCAACAGACAACTGATGGGAAACACAGAACAGAATGAGAAATGAAGACTGGCCAGTAGATTTGGAAGTTTTCAGTGTCCTGGCGTCTTAGTCCTGGAAAAGGCCTAGAATCTAAATCAAGTCCCCAAATGGATGCATAAGAACTGAGGTTCTCAGTTATTTGAATCGTGTATCAGTAATTCATAGTCTTGTTCAGATTCTGTGCTCCCCAAGAAACTCAGTTGGCTTCAACTTGCATAGAGCCAGGCAATGTGCTGATTAGGCCAAGGGTCTAGCCAGCCTTCTGACAATTAGATATCCCTGTAAATGAATAACTTTCATTTTCATTGTATTTTTTAAGAAACAGGGCTTTATCTATATTAAAAATTAACTCTACAATTTGATATTTAACTCACAGCTTGAATTAAGAGAGGTCTTTCTGCCTGCTAAAGTGAAATATTTAAAAAAATGCAAACCACATCTAAGTGCATAAAATACAAAGCAGAAGTTTTCCAAATCCTACTCTGAATAAATATGTCCACGTAGAGTGACCATGAAAACACCTCGCAGGTTCATTCTTCCATCAGATTCCCGTAGTAATCATTTCTGTCGGGCCCACTGAGAGTGTTTTTAGAAGAAATTCCCAAACTGTAAATAAATAGCACCCTCCCATTAAAACCCAAGAACAAGTATCCCTACGTTGTCGAGTGTAATGATTTATTGCTAGGAAGAAGAACAAGTTCCACTTCATTCCAGGCCCCTGAGCATCCCCTCCTTCCCTGCAGTTCAACACTTAGAGATCTGAGTTCTGTTACTCAAAAGGAGAGAGTTTTCTACAGCCCACGTCTAAATTAAGCTGCTTAAACAATCTCTCTCTGTGAGAGGTATTAACCATCTTCCAGCTGTCATCCGCAGGAGAAACTCTTCAGCTTTCTGAAATTCATCTTGATTGTGCCGTATTTGGAATAAATGCAGTCATTTGAATCCGAGGGAGTTCCTGGTCATCTCAGCCTTCACAGGTGGTTAGGGCTTCAAGATGACCTACACGTTTGAGAGTGGAAGGAGGCCCATGGTTCTAGCATGAGGTGCAGGGGCCTGGGGGGGCATGACATTCCAAGATTTACCTGAAACCCCAAACAAAAAAATCCCCTCCTTCGTGGGGGACCTAGGGAGATGAGAAGAGGTTCTTCGGGCATTACTGAAAAGAACTTCGAAAGGTTCACCTGCTAGAAAGCACTGGTTATTCTAATTCCTTAGCTTAGTCACCCAGATTCATCACATGGCACAAACACTGAAATTGTGGGGGCACCTGGGTGGCTCAGTTGGTTAAAGCCTCTGCCTTCGGCTCAGGTCATGATCTCAGGGTCCTGGGATCGAGCCCCGCATCGGGCTCTTTGCTCAGCAGGGAGCCTGTTTCCTCCTCTCTCTCTCTCTCTCTCTCTGCCTGCCTTCCTGCCTCCTTGTGATCTCTGTTAAGTAAATAAATAAAATCTTAAAAAAAAAACAAAAACCCTGAAATTGTGCTTTAAGATATGGTTTCAGGCCAAAGGGAATATCCTGAAATAATTTGAGATGTTGGATCATCATTTGGTTGTATATAAAAGCTTCTTTTTTTTTTTTTTTTTTTTTTTTACTGGAGCGTTGTTCAGAGAGCATGAACGTAATACTTACGCTTTTGCCAGCTCCACTGATATTTGTTCCAAAGAGCGTCCCTTTGTCTCGGGTATAAACACAACGACAAAAGCCAGGCATACGAGGCTCATGATTGCATATGTAAAGCAAACCCACGGCAAGCCAATGAGATCTACAAGGGACAAGAGAGACTGATTAAAAATGTGCTTTGCCTTGCTTTGACCCCATTTTGTGGACAAGCCGCTTCTTTGGGTATAAATAAAAACATGTGTATTTTCAAACATGCTGGTAGTATCCTGGGAAGTAGCAACCACAAGTTGAAAATATAGCCAATCTCTGTAAGTTTCCTTTTTTACAGACTACCCCAGCTTTCTCTCTTACAGCCTTGTGAATATCACAATTTAAACCCAACGCCATCTTTGTGAGCATGCCTTTCTTTTTCGAAATGGTATTATGCTTGCTCATGGCAAACAAATTAAATTAAATTAAATTAAATTAAATAAAAATAAAAATAACCTCAAATGACACAGAAACATCGAAAGCAGAAGGTCAAATACCTCCTCTGGCTCCTTACCCTCACATGTCCCTCTCTTGGGAGAAACGACTGTGGCAATTGGGTTTCTATGCGGTGGACATTTTTAAAGACACTGATACAGATGCACTTTTCTTGAAATGAGTTCACCTTCTTTACCCTTATTATTCAAATAAATCATTTCATGTTGGCAGTATTTCCTCTTAGTAGCTGGCACTGTATTTTAATGCCTCCTCCCGGATTCAGAGGAAGAAGTGTGAACAGTTCTAAGGAAAGGCACTCACTTGCTGAGAGTCATCTGCAAGCAGTCACACCCTCAGGTGCTGTCCTATCTGGCCTGACAGCCTAGAGTGGCCTCTGACGGCTGCTAGCCACAGGTACAGTCCCTTGGCGGTTCCTGACCCGGGTCAAGTCACATGAAGTGGCGAGAAGTAACCCCCCGCCCCCATGCACCAGGAGCCTGCCATGTGCATCGTGCCCCACCCCGGGGGCTCAGGAGCGGGAAGCCCAGCCTGGGGGAGCAGCGGGGAAGAAGCCGGGTCTTTACAAACACAGGCTCTGACTGACCACAGCCAGAAACAGGGCAAACAGCCCTTCACAGCTGCACCCACCGATCCCCCCTGGAGGCCAGGAGAACTGAGGGAGCAGGTCTGTAGTGAGGCGGCACGGCAGATACAGCCTGGAAATACCGAAGCATATTAGCCACCTGTCCGTCAGTTGTGCTGAGGTGAGGCAAAGCGGGAAGAAGGGACTGCAGGACAGCTCTTAGGGTGGTTTTAATGAAAGCCCCGTCCCTCTGTGTTTCTCTTGCTGCGGGCACAGGTTTTTGCCCCAGTGAGTGCTTAATAAAGTGCTTGTAGAAAGGGTCCTCTTTTCCTCTCTGGAACGCGAAACCAGGATACAGACAGAGAAAAAACCCAAACAAAACAAAAGTTCACCTAATCAAACCTGCCCTCTGTTCCATTTGAGTACTTTCGGTAACAAGGAGCTTACCCCTTTGGAAATTCTCACTGTATGGTGGGCTGGCCCCGCCTCTTACAAAGGTCCTCCTCCCTGATTCAGAAGCCCAAGTCTCTCCTTCAGGACCTTTAGCTCAGAGGTTCTGCTTTGCACTTGGGTCTGCTCTCCATCCCTTCTTCATGACGGCAGGACAGCCCACAGCCATGCAGATACCTGCCTGCCCCCCTCCCTTCCCTGAGCCCCTTCTCGCCCCAGCCAAACACCCTGAACCCTTGCAACCGCCCGCACAGACCACAGGTCCCACACCCATTCAGGTGCACCCCCGCCCCCCATGGTGGACACACGGCAACACTCTGAAAATTTCTAAGCAATCTTCTTAGGATAGTTTACTCAGAGCTGAAAAGGCTGGTGTCCAAGGGCTTGCTGCCAAGCAGAAGCCTTATGTCTTCTACTTGGATAATTGATTTTTTTGAAAGTAAGTACAGGTTTCCCTGCTCTCGGCAAGTTTGCGTTACGCCGCTCTGCTGCCGCTCTGCTTTTCTCAAAGATCCACATTAGTATCTGTTTTTGCTAACTGAGAGAAATCCCAAGAGGATTTTCGCTCTCCGGAAGTGGTAGTTGCTCCTCTGCATCACAGCCTCTTGGCCTCTGAAAAGTTTCCTAGAGACGCTCTAGTTTCAGACAGTGAGAGAAACCTGTACCGAATTTCAAGCTTAGTCTAGTGAAATGTCATCTACAGGTTCATTCCAGGATTTTTAAGCGAACGTGTTTTCCGAAAATTTGCTCTAAATGCAGAAGTGCTTCTCAATGTGCATTAACGCTCCTGTAGGTTAGCTATCCTTCCCGGGGATTTGTGTCCTCTTTTTCCACCCCTGATCATTTCCATTCTTTCTTCTATTTTTTTAATTAAAAAAAATTTTTAAGCATAGTTGACACACGATGTTGCGTTGGCTTCAGGTGTGTACAGCATAGTGATTTGTCAGGTTTATACATTATGCTGTGCTCCCTCCATTTTTTTCTCTTATATTTCTCTTTTTCCATGTCAAAGAGCAAATAAAGGTGTGTGTGTGTGTGTGTGAGAGAGAGAGAGAGAGAGAGAGAGAGAAAAGGTAAAAGGCACAGGTCTATGCATGTGATCTCAGTAAGATCGGTGTGGTTGGTGCTAATAACCAATTCCTTCATTTCCTTTAATCTGGGTCTATTTCTAAAAATGTGGGACATAAACATTTGAAATTTTATGTAAGAACCCAAACCATACTTAATTAATAACTCTGAAAGTTTATTTCCCAAAGTAGGTGTACTAAAAAAAAAAGAGTGGTTGATAAGATTCAGAAGTACTATACCTTTTTGAGTATATATCCACTTTTCCAAATTTATACATTATATGTATTATTTAATATTCATATCATATGCATTATGAAGGAAAGAGCTCATCAGTCAATTTTGGAGGCTGCTGGGGAACTACCTCATTATTTGGAAAACTAGAAAATAAAGAGAAAGTTTCAAGCAATTTTCTTGCCTTTTTTCTTTGATTCACACTTCAAGGTCAGGCAAATAACTAAAGAGAAGAACTTCTCCTTAGAGAAGTAGCTATGATCAAAATTTAAAAGGAATGATGGAATAAAATTAACGGATCTGGGCGATGATCCTCACGGAAGCCTATATGACAAAGTGGGAGACAGAGAGGTTGTGTCCCTATGGCAGGATGCATGCCATCATCTGTGAAGGAGTTTACAAATAAGCAAGTGAGAAAGTCTTAATCTGTTCAAGCCGCTAGATCTAGATAGTAGTTCACTGGAAACACAAGGGACAGAAGGTCATGTGATAGGATTATAATCAGCAAAACCCAGGATGGGAAAAACTCTATGATACAGATAACTCTGTTTCTTCATTAAAAACATAAAGATGGGGAAGAAGAGGGAGAAATGAAGACGAAACCTACAAATTATAAGAAACAATCAATTTTAAGTTACATTTTGGATCGTGATTCAAGCAAAGTATAAAAAAATAATTATCAGACAATTGGAAGAATGGGAAGACAGATTGAATATTTGATACCAAGGGATGACTATTAATATTTTGGGTCTTGATCATGATATGACAGGTAGAGTTTTTAAATGTCTTATCTTTCAGACGTCCATGTGGAAATTTTATAGACAAAATCATGTTTGGGATGACATCATATTCAAGATGTGACTCAAAATAATTTGGGGAAAGAACAGGTGCGGTTAAAAATGAATTAAGAGTCATAACTTTAAACTGGGTGGTCGGTGCATCAGGTACCTTCTTTTACTTTGGAATGTTCTGAATTCGTCCACAGTAAAATGATCTTTAGGTGAGTCTGCTTCCCTCATCTTTGTCCTAGGAGCGCAAAAGGTGTTAGAGGAAAACAACAAGTCCTTACCGGTCAGAGTCAAAAATGTCAGAGAGATGAGAAGATTGATGCCCCAGTTCATGCTAGAAGTTAAAGCCATGGCTCGTCCTCTAATTCCACCGGGAAAAATCTCGCTCAGGAGCAGCCAGGGCACTAGAAGAAAGGGAAGAGTGGGTGTGGGGCAGCAAAATGATCAAAAACCCGTTGAAACTGAGGGCCAGCCCTCTGCCCTCTGCCCTCTGCCCCAGGCCTTCATGGTTTGTGGCTGGAGAGCCGGGCTGGGTCCTTCCTTGGCAGGAGGGGAGAGGGAATGTGCTTCCTTCTCGTCTCCAGCCCAGTGAGAGGATTCGGGAGGAACACTGACAGAGCCTGACAATAATCCTGGAAGGAAGGGTGCGGGACACGGGTCTGAGAATGCAAGTGGTGAGGGTGGTGGCTGGGTCACCCGCTGGCGAGCAGCGAGAGAGGCAGCATTGGACCTCTGCCTGGCTAAGAGCCCACACCAGACCATGGCTCCCCCTGCTGTGTGTCCCCACCCTTCCCATGGAGAAGTCCAACATCACAGTTAATGAGTGGGTAGGAGATGGAGCCAGGATGGCAGGGGGAAGGAGGCCCACTGCTCTCTCTTCTCTCACTCGGTCTTCCTGATGGGGGTCAAGCTGAGTGGACTGTAGCTCTGAATTAAACAGAGCTCCAAAACTCGATTATGATACTTGATGGAATGTTTGAATTTCTGAAAGGAGACTTGTTGGCACCAAAACTGATCAGAGCACTTCTCATTATCCAAGAGTGACAGGGAACATTACAGGACTTGCCCAATGGGATCCGAACTCACTTGTCTTCTGCTTCCAGCCCATCAAGCCCAACGCACCCTAATAAAATAGCTACACATTCTTACAAGGGGTAGAGTGTTTTATGAACCTTACCTCCAGTGATCCTCCCCAAATCTTACAAGTCAGGAACTATTACTATCTCTCTTTAGAGGAGAAGAAACTCAGGCTTCAAGAGTTAATCATTTGCCAAGGTCAACGGAGCTCGGAAGTGGCTGAGGAGGCATTGAGTCCTGGCACTCAGTCCATTAAACTCATGCTTTTTAATCATGGTGCTCTCTTGGTGGTAGCTCAATAAATATTTGTTAATGAATAAGTAAATGCAGAACATAAGCATTTGGTTCTGCAGAAAGAAAGGACGTAGGAACTGCCCCAGCCCTGGTTCACTGCTGGTGAAGTCACCTTGTGCTGGAAAGCCAGCAGTTAAATACAGACCAGCTGCAGCATCCTAGCCCACCGGAGGCGGTGGGGGAGGGCCTCCCCAATGCCAGCCACCACTCATGTAGCCTTTGTGGGTATGGGGCCATCAGATGTGCCTCAAATTTAACAACTCATCTCCCCTGACAAGACCAGGCTCCGGACAGAAAACATCTGCTCATACTAAATTTGCTCTTTTAAAGTAAGAAAAATAAATTGAATTATAGCAGAGAGCTGAATAAACATTTTTTCTAGATTATCTTTTTCCAAGTGAATCCACCATAGGGTTATCATTAGGGCACAGAAGATAATTGTAACAAAAGGAACATGTTTATTACTATTCTAATTGATAGGGAATTCAAAATGAAAATTCTGTATCCCTCCACTCCACTTCCTACCACCCAAACCATACTAGGTTCTTGCAGATTACATCCTTGGTAGGATCACTTTGCTCTTAATGAGACCCATGCAGTGCTCAGGTAAACTTGTCTTTGAGTTTTGTGAAACAGGGGATCTGGCTCTGTCTGAGTAGAATGACAGCCATATAGGTCTGTTGAAGCCTTTGTAATGACCTGCTATCGGACAAACGCAAGATAAAATTATGTAAATCCAATGCTTTTGAAGTTAAATAGTCTATGTCACTGACCAGTGCCCTGTGCCGCTGTCTGCCATTGGTATCTGTCACAGTGTTGTGGGGAATCCCTCATCACCTTTTGCTCTAGCAGCCATGAGGAGGAGGTGGGGGAAGTGTCACTCTTTCTTTTCTAGATGAGTTCACAGAGGTTTTCTTAACCTACTTCCATTCCCACTTCATTAGCTCCAAAACCCATTCCTCCCTTCCCCACCTTTCACCGTGACCACCTTTTGGAATTACTTGGTGGGATCTTGGAAAATCATTGCTGGGGTCATGAGACCCATGTTGGCATCAGATGAAAATACACTGATCTTGCCATCACAGAAGGTGGTGGAGCTCACCCACAAGAAGATGGGACTGTATCACAAATCTTGAGTTACAAGCACTCAGTCTGAACCGTCAAAGGCTTGCCTAAAAGGACCCACAGTCTACACTCAAAGCCCGTCCTAGGCATGCATTCAACTTGGCACCTGAACCAGCCAGTGAGCCACGAGCTGAACGTTGAAAGAGAGACTCCCCTCCTTTGATGAGACATTTCAGGCAAACCTTCACCTGACGTTTCTAAAAATAATATATCGTTGCTGAAAGCTTCTACTTGTTTCTTGATCTAATAGAAAGAATTCAAGAATTGATGTTTTGGTTTATCTAATATTGACAAACTGGGTGTTGTAGCAGTTGACAAGGGTTTTGACAGGGATGGTCCAAGCTCTCAAAAAGGAGTCCATCAAGTCAAAAATAAGGAGAATATTATTTTAACGATGATTTCAGCAGCCCCAAATCACAGATCGTCAAATCCAGAAAGTGAAATAAAGTTCTGAAATGGCCCCTGCAACAAGATAAAACTGACTGAAAGGAGTCTTCCCAGGGCCGTCTTAGGAGCAAGATGATGCCAGAATCTGACAGGCGTCCATGGTCCCTAGAAAGGTGCTGGGAATGTCCAATGTAGAAAAAATGCAGCAGCTCTCTTCCAACTCATAAGTCAAGAGCACAGAGATGGAAACCGTCACATGGAGATTTCATATGTTGACATTTGCAGGGACAAGTGGAAAACTTCTGAAAATTACTGCTGGTTTTTCCAATGAGATGGTCTCATTTCTCCCCCAGAGAAAATCAACCTATCTCCACAGCCACGGTGAAGAAGTGGTGGCTCTCTCTGGGTGTCCTCGTTCTCTGCTGCCCTGATGACAGACCCACAGGGGATGCTTGTGCTATTTGTTTGTAAGGAATCCATGGAGTATTCAGAGACCCAGTGACCTCTTCTCCAGGGAGGGCCACCACAACTGTGTAGCTGGCCCTGGAACAATCCCCCTTCACCTCCATCCTTCCACCTTTGACCTTGGCACTCCAGGATGAGCTCAACAGCATGCGCCTCTGCAAATGTCAGAGTCTGCACATGTCTTTAAGGCCTCCCCTGTGCTGCAAGGATAGAGGAAATTTTGGACTTGCCAGGACACAAGTTGCCCACAGGTATTGGCACTTTCCTTCATATGGTATTAAATCACTAGGGCTGCCCGTCAGAACTTGCCTGATCCAGATGAAATCTGCAGACAGCGCTTATAGACACATAGAGCATCACGAAAAGATGTGAAGGACAAATATGTTGAGGTGTCTCCATGTGCTGTGGAGGGCATGGCTTTGCTTTAGTAGGGGCAATCCATGCAGAAGACCTCACCTGTCAACAGGTAGGTAACATGCCACGTTCGTCCTCGGCCCCTCCGTATAAGCCACTGAGGCTGTCACTTAAGCCCTTGTCTTGCCTTGGTTTGAGTCTTCCTCAACCTCCTGGCATGCTAGCTCCAAGTATGAAAGATTCACGGAGGTCTTAAACTCTTGCCAGGGAATTCCTAGCAACTCTGGAGGCAGAATTTTCAACAACTTGATTTGAGGAGGAGTCGGTGTTCCCATACTTTGCCAAAGTGAAGCCAAATCCCATGGCTTTTATTGCCTAGGCAAGCGGTACACGGCACACCCAACTCTCTGTCTGCCAAGAGATCCTTTAAATGTGAATATGAAAGAGACATATGCCCATTTCCTTCCAAACAGATGTTTAAATCCTGGCTTCATTGAGTTCTCTAAGTGGCAAAGGGATGCTCTTTAATAAAAGACACTCTACCATGGGCCACCATCTCCAACATAAGCTATGATGCGGTAGCTTTCATTTGTTTTTATTTTTATTTCTCATATTCCCCTTTCTCTCAGTTACTGTGAGTTGGGCTCATGCCCGGCCCCTTCTAAGGTAAATATTTCATTCAACGATATTGTCTTGTATTACTTAAATAAACCAAGAAAAGCAATAAAATAAAGCCTCAATCTTCCCCAGTCTTTCTATCTTAATGACTTCTAGTCAACACTAACTGAAATGATTTTTTGAAAACATTTTAGGGAAAATTGAACTCAATGGAATAACTCTCAATTTTTAAAAATGTCAGAATTGATCATGAAACTCTTTTGTGAACAAGTACCTGTTGGGAATAAGTAAAAGCTTTTGGTGTTGGTCTTTAAATTTTCTTACTGTGTAGCTTTAGAATAATTTGAAAAACTAAGTACTTTCTCTCATTTATAAGTCAACATCAAACTTTCTTCTCACTGTAAATTTAAATGACAGCAAATATGCAATTTCTATTTTATTATAAGCTCTAACATATAAAAGAGAGCACTTTTCACTCTTCTAAATATTTCTGGTAGAATTGAAATACAATACCTATCTGATATTCGTCATCATTCATTTAAAAAATACAGGAATAAGGTATTTAAAGTAGATTTTATATTGTTTTTCACTTGAACTCAGTATTCTATCCCTTTTGCATTTTTATGCATTTTTATGCATTTTTAATGCATTTTTAAACTCAAAAGTCTTTTGATCACTCCATCATAAGTGCTCTGAAAAAAATTACCATAAACTGAAATTTTAGTTTTTTTTAATGTTCCGTAAAAACTTTTAGGTAATTTTTCTCAACTATTAACACAATAATTAACACAAAATGGGTCAAAATTATGAAAATATATTATAAATCTTTAGAATTAACTGTGATATGAAAAGTGAAATTTATTGAAAGAAACCTCTCTTAACGGACAGGGAGTTTTTTCTTTATTATGTATGTGTGGGTGGAATGTCACTTCTAGAGTAACAGGATATATTTCTACTCTTTAGATGAAATTTATTGTTCTCAAGAATAATAAAAAAAGACAGGGAGTTGAAGAAATTTTATAATACAAGAATCATTCAGTTCTTTGAATTAACAAAAAAAGTTATTTGTAATGATATATCAGCT